TCTTTACACACCCTTCTTACCGGGATTCGGCTTGGAGCGTATCTAGATAAGTGCCATGGTAGCTCAGAGGAATCCTCTTAAAGAGGCTACACGAGCTAAAGCATGTCAATACACTCTACCCATGTAGCAGAAAAGGGTATTCTTTGGAGGTTGTTGAGGGCATACTTTGTGATCTGGACAGGGAGTGGTTCCACCAACGGTGCAGTAAACTAACTTCCAAGGCAGTTGAACACTGTGTTGTCCAAAAGTTTCTGGAATGGATTTTTTCTCATTGCACCAGCTCTATCGGAATATTCAGGGAGAAAACACTGCCACCGAAAGGGAACTCTCCTCCACAGCTGGCAGCACCAACACCTCAGTGTAACTCGACCCCAGGTAGTCAGATGAACAGAAGTAATCCCGAGCTAGGGACTAGGAAACATGGGAAGGGGAATCAGTCTTTACCAAAAACCCTTGGAGTAGATAATGAAAGTTAATGTATATTAGTGGTGAAGACAGAGCGTGGTAACCATCCAAACACCTCAGTGACACTCCAAGACGAAAGAGTAAAGTCTAAACCTGAGACGCGCAATCCCAAATTGGCAACCACAAGGCTGGGCGTACCCAAAGCTGGAAAAAAAGCAGGAAAATAGCAAGACTATCCAGTGTGGCTCGAGCTCCAGGCTGAGGCTGACCAAACGCACTGCCTCGCCATAACTGAGACCCGGCTCAGGTCTGAATTTTGTATCGCTGGTTTCTGTCCACCAGGATTCTAGGTGTATCACTGCGACAAATCCGGGGATAAGTTGGGAGTGGTGTTCTTATGCTCCTGGCAGACCTCTTTCCTCAGACGGCCGTGGATACCCTGTGCACGGAGAACGTTCAGGCTGCCGAGTGTGTAATCAAGCTCTCACGAGTAAGATTAGCAGTTCTGAGTGTTTACCGTAGCCCAAGCGCAGGCATCGGCGAAAGTGAGTTACTGATAGATTTTCTCCGGCAAATAACAACTCTGGCAAGTAGGGTTCTTGTATTGGGAGATTTCAATGCCCCTGGGATGGAGTGGGAGATGGAGTATGCGCCATTTGGCATATTTGGGGATGAGCTACTATTGATGATGCACAAATTGGCGCTCACCCAACACGTCACCGATCCCACCCGATGGCGACTGGGTAACTCTTCTAGCACCTAAGATCTTATGTCTACCAAAAGCAGGAATGACATCAGGATCACTGCTATAGGTGCACCGCTAGGCAGAAGTGACCACGCTAGTGTGCGGTGCCAGTACGGCTGTGCTCTTTCGCTTTTTCAAGCCAAGTTGCGCTGACGTTACGGACGCATGAATACGGAATGTCTCCAGGCTGCCGTTCAGACCATGGTCTGGTCAGAGGCAAACTATTGGACTTTAGATTCGTGGAACTTGATCAGGGATAACCTGCTGACTCTCAACAATAGATTCGCACTTCTGTGTCTCGTGAGGTCAAGGACCACTCCACCTTGGTTTTCTAACCGAATNTGGCAACGACTCTGTGCCACAGGCGGCTATCTTAGACACATTCAGTACCTACGTGAACGAAAGTCTTTCGACCGTATCCTCCTGGATGCTAAAAGAGGTTTCGAGCTTTTCCTGGCCGAGAAAGCAAAGCGCTACCCTAAGGCCTTCTACGGGTATTTTCAGTCTAAGTCGACTACAAGGGAAGCAGTCGGCTGTATCAGGCAAAAGGAAATCACCCCCTTCACGGCAAATTCCCAAAAGGTCATCGCCTTTTACACACGTAGGATGAGGGCGTCCGGAAACCTATTCACCAGTCAGCAGGATCCACGCTGATGGAGGAAATCATTTTCCTACCGGTGGATGTGGAAAGGACCCTGGTGAGTTTGAATAGGAGCGAAGCGGCCGGCCCGGATGAAATCCCCCGGCACTGCTTAGGCCTCTAGGATACATACTGGGAGCCACCTTAGCCTCTTCAATCAGTCAATGGCGTCAGCCACCTTGCCATAGGACTGTAAAGTAGATACTTTGGCTCTCATCAACAAAAGGGGCGACGGGAGCTGACCACTAAGTATAAACCCGTCAGCTTACTCTTCGTGATCCTGAAGGTCATGGAAAGATTAATCAGGGCTAAGACGGCCAGCTACATCACCCATTGTGCCTGCTGGCGGAGGCTCAGCACGGGCTCCGTAAAGACCGATTTTGCCTTATCGATCTACTAGTCTTCCTGGATGTTGTGATTGAACGGCTGGATACGAGGGTGGGAGTCGAATTCTGCTATCTAGACTTCAGTAAGGCCTTCGACTCCGTCAACCATCGGCAAGCTAAGGTCGATGGGGATTCACCCTAGTTTAGTCAGGTGGACTGAGAGTTACCTGACAGAGTGGATTGGCCGGACTGTGGGCATGCTTACAGCGGTGTCTCACAAGGATCGGTACTTGGATCATTGTTGTTTCTTGTCTTCATCAATGACCTAGTTCCCCGTCTATGAAACCCACAGTTGATCTTTGTGGATGACGTCAAACTCCTTGACTCCCACCAGAGTGCAGAGCTCCAGCTTGATCTAGATGCAGTGCAAGCATGGGGTCTCCTTTCAAATGCAGCGAAGTATAAAGTCCTGCGAACCGGGAGTGTTCAGTGAGCTAGGCGACGTTACATGAGAGCTGGAGACAGGTAGGATATGGCAGTGGTGCCAGAGATCAGGGAACTAGGGTTCACTCTGAACTCCAATTTTAATTCCTCTGCCCAGTGTCTTGCTGCGACACGTAGGGCTAATAGAGCGTTGTTCAGGTTGAAACGCACAATGACGTCCAGGGACCCTGTCGTACTTGTTCCGCTCTACATGGCCTTCGTTCGGCCGCACTTTGAGTACTGCATACAAGCTGAAGAAGGACCAGAGGGTTCTGAAAAGGGTGCAGAGGAGGTTCACGCGCATGTTCCCGCACCTTCGGGGAGCGACATGCCGAACGCCTTCAGAGACTGAATCTGTTCTCACTCAATCGGAGAAGGCTGAGGGTGACCTGATTGAAACTTTCCGTATCTTCATGGGTTTCTTTCAGGGAACCTCCCACCTACTTCAGCGGAACGGTGTAGCCAACAGAAGGGGACAGCATGAAGTTAGACAAGCCTGGGGCACTCAAACGCCTGAGAGCCACCTTTTTCTCTCACCGGGTAATCAATACATGGAACAAACTGCCTCAAGAGGTAGTGGCGTTAAAAACCATTGCTGAGCTGAAGTTTGACGCATCCTGGGCATCAGCGTTTTCGGATTGTATCTGACACTGGGCTTAGGATCACATTATAGCTCGTCCTTCTCCGTCCCCCAACTCTATATCAAGCTCTTTTATCTTAAGATGATCCACTTTGATTTCTCCAACTCCCTCAAATCCATTTTCATTCACTATTTACCACATTTTACTGAAATTTCTCAACATCCAGTATCCCCTCTTACTCTGGGGAGCTTGGAGCATGGAAGAACCAGCAGGAGTGCGTTTTTTTTTTCCAGAACCGCACTCATTCATGTCTATATAAACGAAATAACACAATTGTCACAGCGCTGTAGTTCTCCTAAGGGAATTGGTGCAAAAACTGGACTGCTTTTGGTTCCGTCGGAAGTCCTGTGATCTGTGCTGTCCTGTCCTAAACCGACCTGACCTGAATCTAGGTAAGTGTCAGCTTTTTACCACATGATCCAATGATGAAACGAGAAGTGTGATGCATTTGCAGTATGTTACTGAAACAAATGATCTAGTGTTAATGATTACAAATGACTTCAGACCATCCCTGCAGTGCAAGCGTACGGCTGACAAAGTTCGATACGAACTTTTCAGGTTGTGCGCTGTTGTAGGTTGCAGAAGACCTGAGCTTTTTGTACCTTTGTACAAAACTATGGATCGTCCTCAACTATAATATTGCGTACAAGCAAGGGCATCCAATTTTAGTTTACCGCCGGGTTCTGCATGTCACCAACGGGCCACCAAAGCCATCGCAGGGTGTCGCGCTGATCTTCTGGTATCTTAATTTGAAGGAACATTCCTTGTATGTCGGCTGTCACTGCAACTGATCCTAGCCGGAATCGGTTGAGCACGTCAATTGAGGGAATGGTCCAGTGTGTACCCTGCAACAGAAAATCATT